TACTGCGTCACGGCGCAAATGAAATACCAAGTGTCTGGATTTCTACACGTTCTAGCTAGCCATGGCGGTAGGCGGAGGCGGCAATTTCTTCTAAGTAATAATCCAATGTAGGGTAGGGTTGAAATAAGTAGCCGCCTAGGTTAGAAAATCTATTTACATATCCTTCATCCATTTTTAATTGTGATATTTGCACTAAAGATTTCAAATTGAGGATGAGAAAGCAGAGACATCATGCATAAAGATTTCACCATGGAAGAGATTCAATTTCATTAAGGATGATTCAAAGAGTTATGTTTTACTCGTGAGAGGTGCTAGAGTCACAAACACCTTGATCACAAAATACACAATCTTGCCATTTGTGTATTTAAATGCTTACTTTTTAATTATTTAACATTATTTAATTCACTTAGTGAGGTACACAAATAGCAAGGTTGTGTATTTTGTGATCAAAAAATTTGTGACTTTAGCATTTCTCTTTACTCATCTTTTAGGTTATTTCTTTTTTTAAAAACTGTAATAGAATAATATAAAATAAGAGATAACAGATTATTACTGGAGAAGTATGATGTGATATATGTGGGTAAGGAAAAGTAAGGGTAAATGATAGATTATTACTGAGGAAGTATGATGTGATATGTGGGTAAGGAAAAGTAAGGGTAAATGTAGGTTTTTGATAAAAAGTGAAGGTGTCTTGAAAAACAAAAAATAAAAAAGGTAGTGTTTTGAGAAAATGGAGGGAGTATTAAAAAATATTTTTTATAATTTACTTTAATAAAAAACGAGGGCGCTATCCTCAAACTATCTTACTACTTTTGCCCCTAGTCGCTCCAAATCCTGGATCCGCCAATGATCCTTTATATATATATATTGGATTCTCCTTATTCTAAAAATTTGACATGTGACTCTTTAAAAAACGACAAGTAACTCTTTAAAAATTTACATGTGGCGATATCTATGTGACATTATTTTTTGACATATTCTCATCTTTATCTTTATATATTAAATTTGAGAGTTAAACTCCTAGAATTGCGACAAGTGGCGAGTCTACATGGCAATATTTTAACAAATCACCCGTCACCTATTAACGACTTGAATGAAGTGGCAATTTTAATGAAAATGTGGGTAGATCTAATTTAAGTTGTATACGGAATATATGTCTTATTTACAAAGTCTCGCTATAATTTTTTGGAAAAAATACTCCATACAAGAATAGGGATAAATATGGAGAGAATACCAAAATAAAAATGCATATTTTTTATCTCCAAAATCGGAGCTACCAAACATATAATCAAAATAATACTCTTTTTCTTAAAATTTCTAATTCATATTTGTGACTAACAAAATGTTTTTCATGTCTAAAAAAACTCAAGATGAAGAAAGAATTCATAGTGACAAAATTAATACGGGTGGATTTTTTTGTGGGTTTCATTTCATAGGGTTTATCTTAATGGTTAGTAACTCCATCTATTAATCCCCTGTTCATTTTTTTTGAATAAAACGTTTAACCCATGAGATTTCTTAAAATATATTAGTAAAAAACTTTTTAAAATCTTATATTTCAATTTGTAAAATTTCAAATAATTTCATAAAAAATATATTTATAAAAAAAATCCTAAAAATCAAATAAATTAATTTTCCAAAAATAAAAAAATTATAGTCGCATTTGATATATTTCATAGAACTTATATTTAAAAAAATTTAAAACAATCACATTTATTTTATAGTCAAGTTTTGCTTAAATTGTCAAGTGAATCTATTTTCAAAGCAAGTCAAAAAAGAAATATAGTTACATTCTTTTACATAAAATTTTAAAAAATCATCACGTAAAAATATTACATGTATTTTACATCAAAAAAAAATTCCGCTTAATATGAATTTATTTTTAAACAGCAAAAAAAATATAGTTGCAAGGGTTTTCACCAAGAAAAATTATAAAAACATTTTAAAATAATAATAGGTATTTCACTTTTGACTTCATTGAAGTTACGACTACTACTTTTTAAAAAGCACAAAAAGTATTCGCATGGGATATATACAACAAAATAATATTTAAAAAAATAAATCACGTATTTTTCATACGTGAATTTTATCAAAATTCTACATAGATATGAAGTGGGGGATCAGAGGCGAGGTCATCCTCATTTGAAATTTACCAGCGTGAACATGAGTAGCTAATAGAGAGACACAAAACATTGGGGTGCCGCTAAATGCACAATTGGGATAAAATTATAATTATTATCATGGAGACCTAAGTTGGAAAAATGTTAATCCGAAAGGGTCATTTTGAAAAATTACTCTACATTTAAATAATGAAAATACCTAAATTTTCTCCACCAAAGATTCATTTAACAAACATTATATACAGAGGACACTGAGTAGATGAATCTCATCTATAAAGTACTACATCGATAATTAATGCTTAATAACATTGATTCAGGAAAATATCTTATTTGAAAATACTATTTTGGGATTACTCGGAAAATTTATAATTTGGTGACTTAAAGGCTTAAGATTATATTTTTTTAAGAGAATTATACATGTCATGATTATGTACTTTACTTTTAGGGAAATGGATAATACGTATAGTATACCAAGAGATTGACTCAATGCATATCTTACCTAGAACCTTTGTTTATGGTAAGATGACTAATTCTGATATGAAATAAAAGTATTTTCATACAATTTGACTACTTTTAAAATATTGAAATTTTAAAATAAACAAATTAGAAAAAAGACGTAATAAGGCTTTTATACTTTATCTTGGTAACTTGATTTACTATTTTAATCAAAATAACTTTATATTGTAACTTACGATTTACACAATACATACTTATATTGTGTTACAATTAAAAATGTTTATACATAAAATTAAAAAAATTTGAATGAGAGATAACTTACTTCCTACATTTTAATTTACACACTCATACATGAAAATTCATAGGATGATATTTTATGCGACATTACATATTTAAGCAAAGATGATTGTGACAAGAAGATCAAGGTGTGGAGAGGAGCGTGAGGGGATTTGTGAAGATGAAGATCTAGGATAATAAAAAATGTAAGAAAAATTATGCAAAAAATCCAAAGTAAAATAGCCAATAAGTTCGAGACTAAGTTACATGTTACAACTACATCAAAGAAAATACAATTTCCAATTTGTAACTATTTGTATTTTGATAGAACATTTTATATCTTGACGAAAATACTACCCCACAAAAACATTGGAATACTAACTTTTTAATGTTTTTTAAAATAAATGCGGGGGAGAAGAATAATTGAATCTTAACATTTTAAAATTAAAAATTCTAATAATATAGATTTAGAATCACTAATTTAAGATTTTGTTTTTAATAATGCAAGAAAGAATAATAACTTTTTATAATCATTGCGTCGGGGGGGGGGGGGGTAGTTGGAATTATGGATGAGAAGAATCCTATTTTTTCATTATACAATTATAAGGTCGGTAATTTTAGTTTTTTAAATTAATGTGAGGAAAAAGAATCATTGGATCACTGATACTTTTTGTATCAATATATTTTTGAATTTATACAGGGAGAAAATTTATATATTTGTAGAAATACATCAAATCTAAATAATTTATATTTGATGTTTAATAAATATGCCAAATAAAAATCATGATCCACATTGTAGAATAAAAAAATTCATCTGAACCTGTGCGTGGCACGGGTAGAAATACTAGTTTAAATATCCATCGAACTATTATAAAACAATGTAAAAACTTTAAGTTCTTAATTTAAAATACATCTTTGGGTTCTTGCCCTTAAAATATAATAATCCAAACTTAATATTAAATAATAAAATCCTCCCGCTAGCATTCATGTATCTCTTTGCCCTCGCTGCCCTCCAGGATTGTTTTCTCAATCGTCGTGATCTACGTGTAGGAAATGGGAAAAAGGGCTACACGCTCAGCATTGAAAAGCTAAGTGAGAAATATAGATCTAACATTTTAACAACGCACATAGACGAACTCACTAGCTCATAACCACATACAATATCATGCATACAAGTTCAACATCTTTAACATCATTAATATCAGATAATTAATCAGTCAAGCATAATTACCTCGATTACCAATTTACCTCATTCTCACTTGAGGCGTTTACAACACACAATCCTTGTGCAAATCTCATAATCAACTTCCTCATTTTTAAGGTCATAACTTAACCTAGGCATAGGCCACTTCTTTATTCTAGAGTGCTGATTCAACCACATTTATAAAGGAACTCGCTCGATACGACGTCATCCAATGTCGGCTGGGTAAGACCACCTACTCACATCCATGAGCATATCCCCAAATTCTATTCATATTCAATTTATATTAAAATTCAATAGATTTTTTCCGTAATATGCAGTCAAAGTTTAAAAATTTTGAACACGAAAGTCAAACTAGAAAATTAATTTTAGGACGGAAATGATGCTATCCTCATACTTTGTAATTTACACTTATTACTCCGTAATATCTATCTTGATTCTATTATCCATCGCCACACCTCGAATAATGTCCACTACAATATCTGTGATAATGACTATTAAACATTATCAAGAGAGGGTCCAATTTTAAGTTTTAACTATTCATCAACTTAGCCATCATCAATCTCCAATGTTATGTCCAACGTTAGATGGATTATAGTAATATGCATGTCCATAGTTTTCAATCTCCCAGGAAGGAAAAGATAAATATGAACCAATTGGATGAAGCAAAGAATAGAAGAAGAATATACAAAGTGTATGAAAAGAAGATATACTCCCTCCCTCTGCAAAAAGACTTCCCATTTTGATTTGGAACAAAAATAAGGAAGTGTTAAATTATACTTCCTCCGTCCCTAAATATTCACAACATTTGCTTTTTCAATAGTGTCGTGAACTTTTGTTTATTTCGACATTTTCATTGATTATTTGATAAAATAAAATATATTTCTTGACACCTCTTAGAGCACTGGCAGTGGCATGGCTGTGCCACTGCCACGCCTGCCACATAAGCCAAGCAAGCAAAATGCCTCGCAAGAATGTAGAAATTTGACATGCATGGCAAGTAATGGGCGAGGCAAGTCAAGCAACTATTTTTGTTTTCTTTTCTTTTTTCCTCCATAAAATAGAAGATTTTTAAAAGGTAGATATATTTTTTTGGAAAAAACCTAAGTAAATTCATTTTTAATACTTTGTAGTAAAAATAAGACATGTAAAAAATGTAAAATTTAAAAAAAAACGTAATTTTTTTATTTTTTAGTTTATTTTTTAAATAAGAAATATTTTTAAAAAGAGTATAATTTATAAAAATATAAACAAAATAAATTTAAATAATTTAAATATTTTTTAAATATTTTTATTTTTTTATTTGAAAAAAATATAATTAGAATAAATTTAAACAATTAAAATTAAAATGTGTAAAAAAAAGTAAAATTGATAAAAACAATTACTTGCCACTGCATAACATGCCACTCCACTCTCATGCCACACGCTGACTAGACTGTTTTTTATTGGTTGAAACTTTCCATCTCATCGTGTGTCATTTTATTTCTTACTTGCCATTGTGAATGGTCTTATTTCGAAGAACTTTTCATGTAGTTTTTTCATATGTAAATTTTATTTTTTATTTCTTTACTAATATGTAAATAAAATGAATTGAAAAAACTTGATATTTTGCCTCAGGAATACAAATGTGGCAAATAATTTGGGACGGAGGGAGTAGTTGATTTCCAATTTTGCCACTGATGTGATGAGTAAAAATAAGATGTGATGGATAGATTATTAGAGAAAAAGTATGATGTGATAGGTAGTGTATGAAAAACTAAGGGTAAAAGTGGTTTTTTAATAGAATGAGGAAGTGTTTTGTTGGAAGTGTAAAAAATCAAAGAGGAAGTGTTTGTGAGAACGGAGATAAGTATAAATATAGAAAAAAGTGTTGTTTGAATTACCGAATGAGTCGAAGATGTCGAAGTAGGCTCCTCCCTGGCCTACCTCATCGTACTGATCATCCTCATCAGAATCCTCAGAATCAAAATGATAAATACACCAACCAGCTTCCCATTCACAACGTTCCATTGGATCATCCGGGCGTTTGAAAAATTTCATTTTCCGAGCAATTCTATCACCGATCTCTCCAAGCAGCAGGTCCACGTTCTTACATTTCCGAATATCGAGGGACTCAAGATTCGGGCACCCGTCAAGAATGGCTTCCGGCCCTCATTTGTCATGCCATTTTCCACGACTCCAAGGTGGCGCAAACCGGGCATGCTCTTCGCAATCGCCAGCGCTTCGAAATCCTCGCCCCTGTAGTCGCCATCTCCAAACCTGTTGGGGCAGGAGTGGCCAATAGGTTCAATGGACTTGTGAACGTCTGAGAGTTCGGCAAGGTGCATCTCTTCCAGGAGAGGACATTTTTTGGCCAGATCAATCAACCCATCATCTCCAACTCCAGAGCAAGTCCTAATTCGAATACATCTTAGCTGCCTTGATCTGTACAAATAAGCAGCAAATCATAGTGTGTGTGTATATATATATATATATGTGTGTATATACTCCATCCATCCGTCCCTAAATAGATTATAATTTTTTTCTCTTTCCTCTCGATAACTTTTCTTTGCTTACGCGATTTCATTAAGTATTTAATAAAATAAAATATTCTTGTCACCCTCTTGTGAGATGACTCCAGTGAGATGACACCTTACGCTGCGATGACATGCTTCGGTCAGATGACGCAAAGCTCACCACACTACACTGCAAAGCTCACCAATGGACAATGCAAAGCTCACCTGGAAATAAAGCAAAGCTCACCACTTTGAACCCCAAAACTCACCTTTTCTTTAATTTTGAAAATTAAAAAATTAATTAAAAATAAAATAGCAACACCGGTCAACCACCAGTCAACGGCGACGATGACCGGCGGCGGCGACCGGCGTCCGGCGGCGGTCAATGCTGGAGTCAACGGTCAAAGTCTAGTCAGCACCCCTTCCTTTGATTTTATTTTTTCAAAAAAAAAAATCAAAGTGTTGAAAAAAATATGGTGAGCTTTGCCTTACAGTTTGGTGAACTTTGTAGTTGTGCTTGGTGAGCTTTGCAGTGGGCAGTGGTGAGCTTTGCGTCATCTGACCAAAGGGGTGCTGAAAAGGAGTACACTTTTGTGTGCTATGGGTTTCATACTATTCTTCTCTTAGCCAAGCAGTGTACTGCCAGGGTAGGGAGGGGGGCGGGAGGGGGGGCTGGGGTGAGGGGTTTAGGGGGGTAGGAACCGTCGTTTTTACAAACGGATTACCGTAGGTACCCAAACGAACTGGTGTAAGCAACTAGTGTATAAGTAACTAGTGTCATTTTAGACCGCTCCCTATATATATATATATATATATATATATATATATATATATATATATATATATATATACACCTTTCGGAGATGTAGTCGAGCAATTTGTCTGTAGCGAAATGATCAATGTGGATTTCAGTTAGTTGTCCTTGGCTGCGATCTACTGCCTCGGCACACATGACTTCGAGGCATTCGTCCTCCCCACCCAGACGTTTCATATCAATAAAACGCCACATGGAAGGGTCGTCTTTGCACATTTTTCGCCAGGAAGAACACACCCGTTGTGCATTTACCAGAATTTCTTCAACACCCAATCTACGAAGGATGTCGCGAATCACATCCTCGGGAAGTTCGAGGAAGCGATTGGGACGAGTGCAGCTGTTTGATGATTCTCCATCTTCAGAGCCTCCACTGGTTGTACCTGCAATTTTTTTATTTTTTTGTTTTTGCTCATCACTACTGATAAGTAGTCTCTGTATTGGGAAGGACATAGCACACATATATAGACTATACGAAATATCATCGATCATACATAAATACCTTTCATCAGATGTGTATTGGAGCAATCCATTGGCATAGAGCAAGCAAGCAAAGTGATGGGTGAGTATATATATATATATATATATATATATATATATATATATATATATATATATATATATATATATATATAGTAAGGAAATTCCTTCAGATTATTGTTACAGCACTTCAATTCCTTTGTTTTTTTTATACTTACTGGTGTGATGTATATTGGGCCAGATTGGGTGGTAGCATATAGGCTCCCTCCATAAAGTTGTTTGAACAAGTCCTAATCACCCCCATTATTTCTCGCCACTAATTTCGCAAAGCTCATCCAGTGCTCCCTCCATTATGTATTCTTCTTTGTTTGAATGGGGCTGCCTTTTTGGAAGTGCGAACCAGCTGGGCTGTGGGCCCCGGTGTTGAGCTCATTCAGATACGAATATTACTGATAGGAGTTTTATTCAAACAATTAGTCGTATTTTGAAACACGTGAACTATAAACAATGATAATAACAATAAACAATTCAAGCATTTCTCACTCCCTTTGGTGTGTGGTACCAGTAATATTATGAAGCAATTTTGATTCATTCCCCAAGATAGTAAAAAACAAACCATTTGTTCGCGATAGTTCTAGAGTTACAGACAAATCGTTCACAGATTTGCCTTTTGTAAAATTGAAAATGGAACACTCAAAGTGTGACCTCATAGAAAGGTTTATATATGGAAAATAAGTCCTCGGTAAAAAAACAAAAACATTAAGTTTTGGGATCAAATACGTTCCATTGCATGCTTCAAAACTCATCACCAAAGAGCGTCTAAGCCTTGCAAAGAAGAGTTACAGAGTCACAAAACGAGTAGTCATCAGGTCAGTAGTCAATATATGGGGTATCATCAAACTCATCACTATAATCTTCATCATAAAAAGGATCAGCATCCCAATCAGAACCGCATTTCACTGGATCATTCGGGCATTTGAAATCTTTTATCTTTTCAGTGATTCTATCGCCAATCTCTCCGCGCAGATTCACTCTGTAACATCTCCGTATGTCCAGAGACTCAAGATTAGGACACCCATCAAGAATGGCTTGCAGGCCCTCATTTGTCATATTATTTCCCACGAGTCGGAGGTGATGCAAACCAGGCATGGTTTTTGCAATTGCTAGTGCTTCAAAATTGTTGTTGCATTCACCATATCCATACAGAAGACCGTCTCTGTAGTCTGACGAGCTCAACGTGAAGGACTTCAACTTTGGGCAGGACTGACCAATGGCTTCAATGTAATCGCGAACACATAAGACGTACACAAAGTGAAGTTCTTCAAGTAGAGGAAAATTTTTAGCCGCTTCAATGAAACCATACCCTACTTCATCACAACCCCTGATTTGAAGGGACTGTAGCTTACTTGACCTGTAGAAATGAGCAAGCAAATTCTGAATATTACTGGTAGAAGAGTCTATTCAAAGAATTAGTCGTATTTTGAAACACGTAAACTATAAACAATGAACCATGCTCAAGGGTGATTGAGGTGTTGAATTAGTTCCTTTTATTTGTGAGATGAATCTGAAGCTAACAACAAATTCATCAAACCTCTCAGAGATGTAATGGAGCAGTTGATCTGTAGCAAAATGATCAATGTGAAGTTCAGTCAATTGTCCTTGGCTCATATCTACCGCCTGACGACACATGGTTTCAAGGTCTTTGTTGCACACATCATCAAAGTACCCGTAGCGAACCAGATGTCTCATATCAACGAAACGCCACATGGAAGGATCTTTGCAGATTTTTCTCCACAAAGAACAAACTCTTTGAGCATTTTTCAGAATTTCATAAGCGCCCAATCGATGAAGGATGTTAGCAATTACATCTTCAGGAAGTTCAAGGAAGCAGTTCAGGCTGTTTCCAGATTCTCCATCTTTTGAGGCTCCATTTGTTTCTGCAATTTTTTGTTACAAGAAAATGCTTGGTTTCTAATCATTATATATAGGGTTCATATTGTTACATGGAAAATCCATTTTGTAGGATCTGGTAGTGTTATTTTTATTACTTTCCAGCCCAAATTTCGGCATTGTCGAGTTCGAACTCATTTTCGCAGCAATTTAATTTATCAAATGGTATTCTTCAGAAGCTCGAAATCAATGTAATTAAATTCATTTCATCGTGATAGAGAAGTATGATAAAATTAAAGTGACTAGGTTTAGACTGAACTGTACATGTACACATTAAAGCAGAAAACCGAATTTCATCATACCTTTGATCAGATATGTATTGGTGCGATCCATTGAAAATCATCAAAGTGAGAGCGATATGAAGAAGATCGGTCAACGGCGGTCCATGGCGGGAGGCGATTGTGACTTCTCTCTTCATCTGCTCCAATCTGTTCATCTCTGAGATTTGGATTGAAATGAAATGCTGTGTTCATTTATATAAGACTCAGTGCCAAATTTTGGGATCAAAAGCCCTCCCCGTCCCACCGCTTCGATTACCGGAAAAGTGAAATAGAATCGAGAGCTAATTAATGATGTAGTATGAGGCGGTGCCTCGGAAATGCTCGGTGGTGCCTGCCGTTGAACAGTCTCAGTTATACCTTCAAAATACATTGCTGCATAAACAAAAATTTACGCGCAAACAAAAATATCGGTCCATTAATAAAAAATAGTTTTACACTATTACCATGCTACATTTACACTAAATTTTATACCTCATTTGTACACCGCAGTTATACACAAACATATTTTGACGGTTTACACCGACACAAATGTTGGTGTGTTAACAAAAATTTACACGCACACAAAATATTGGTGCATTACCAAAAATTAGTTTTATACCAACATAAAATGTTGGTGCAAAACTGTGGGGTATAAATTGGAGTACAAAAGGTTGGGGTACAAGTAGTTTTATCCTTTACACCAACACAAAATGTTGATGCAAACCTACGGGGTACAAATAGTTTTATCCTTTGCAGTTTATTGCACAAGTACAACTGATTTTGTAAATGTGCACCCTTACTTCTCTATGGCTTTAAAACTTAAATTGTTGACCCTCATCATTTTGATATTACTATTTTTGGATAAAAATATCTTTTAAATATTAGATGAATAACTTCGCTGTCCCCTATGGTTTTGGAAATGAGCGTCAACGCCTCTTCAACTTTTTCATTTTTTCATAAAGAGAAGAAAAATGTGTGTATGTGAAATATTGAGAAATCATTTTTTCAAACCTACGTTTTAAAAAAAGTTTTAAAAAATGCGAAAAAGATTGTGTTTGAAATAAAAAATTTAACGTATATTTCATTTGTCAAAGAAAAGCTTGGCTTGACTGAAAAGGCATAAGATTTTCTCCCAAATTTGGGTTCCACATAGAAGGAAAATGCTAGAGTCACAAACATATAGTTCACAAACTTCACAAAGTTGCCTTTTGTGGATTTTAAATTAAAATATCTTTTATTATTTGAGTACATCTTATTTCTAGGAAAGTGTTAAAAAAGCAAGTTTGTGAATTTTGTGAACTTCTTGTTTGTGACTCTAGCATTACTCCACATAGAAATACATGTTCTTATCTCCTTCATCCTAGCTTCTTACCGAAACCACACTTCGATTCATAATATTTTAGGCCTAGAGATGTTGTTGGACCTCTAAGAAATGTTGCATTATATGTGAGCAAATCACAGCATTTCTTGGCACTTCATTTTCCTTTAGACAATAAATACATTGATATGTTTGGCATTATGTAATAAAAGGTTTTCCATTTTGCAGTGTCATATTTGCCATTGTAATTTTGGTTGATATTATATTGAGAGTCACTATATATGGTACCATGTCACTGCAGCGACGATAATGGTTACCGGTGGTGGTGTCGGTGGAGTGACGACGACAAAGATGACGGTGGCAATAGAGACATCGGTATAATTTTGTATGGCTTTATCTATTGTCAGTTTTGACATTGTGACCTTATTTGACACTATGAACAATTAATAAGACATTGTGACGATGACAATGCGGCGGCACTAGCTCCGATAGCAACAACAACATATCCCGTCCCCTCAAATGTTTCTCTACTTCATCCGTCACTTCTAAATCTACCACCCTCGGTGCTACATTCAAAGCATTATTGTCAAGTCTTCATATGATGAAGTGCTTGATCATGACTTTGTTGTAGACTAAGTAAAGCTAATGCAAGCTCTTTGATAGTGGTAGTCATCTACTCTATAATGTCCTGAACCCCGATCTATCCGAATTAATTGATTAGGAATAATTAATTATTTAGTGAGACATACCTGGTGTTAATTATAAATACTCACCCCGTCCCAAAAAAAGAGGGATATCAGGCTAAAGTGGCAAAATAAGAGTTGATGATTTTGTATTGACTTTCCAAAAATATTATTGATGTGATGAGTAAAAGTATGATGTGATGTGTAGATTATTAAAAAAGACGTATGATGTGCAGTGATAGATAGGGCATGACAAAATAAAGAAAAAAAGTAGTTTTTTAATAGAAATAGGAAAGAGATTGTGGGACATCATTTTTTTTGAAACAAAAAAGACTTTTTGAGACGGATGGAGTTGTTGTTTATCAATTATAAGTAATAGGAACTATTTTTAGAGAGCTACTACACATGCAGTTGCATGGTTCAACATTTATAAAAAAAGAAATTGAATTACTATTATTCAGGATAGTTTGTCAATTTTATTTAACCACATGTCGCAAGGATTAGACTTTAGAGAGTCTGTATTAGTCAGTCCAGAAGGTGGAATCGCCCACCCCAGGCGCCCCCACCCCCTTGCCTGACAGGAATGGTGGAGGATGTAAATCATGGTGACTCAGTCGACCAAGAACGCTAGACCCGTGCCCACCGCGCACAAGGAGCCTCCTCACCCTTTATGGGATTTTTGTTAGAGAGTCTCTATTAGTGAAAGAGAAGGGTTCAAATACTAAAACCTTAAATACTCCGTACGTGACTAATTGATATTCATGTCCACATTCACATAAAAATCACTCAATTCATTAATCAAGCATGCCATTATGCATCTCTTCCCATACATACAATGAATTGATCATTCATGTTCACTTCACTTCAACAGCCCAATGCTCTGCAGAACTCACATTTCATCATAAATATAAGTGCCTGAAGTTAAACAACAATGAGATTAGAGATCAAAGACCCAATCTTTAAGCAAAACCCATTAGTAATCATCCACTAATCTTGATTACCAAGAACTATCAGCGAAGAAGATGAAGGCCGGAGCAAATCCCATACTTCTCCACCCGTCAATTCAAAAATCCGCGGCGGCGTTTCCCCGTACCCTGGCACTGATTTTCACCTCGTTTTTCGCCTTCGCAATCGCCCTTTCTTTGATTTCCGGCGGCGGGCACGCCGGAGCCGGCGGGGATTCGCGGGGCGAGTCGCCGGCGCCGGACCCGGTGGTGGAAGCGCTGGTGCACTACGCCACGGCGAACGTCACGCTGCCGGCGTACGCGCGGATGTCGGCGGCGGAGGTGGGCGCCGTGGCGGCCGCGCTCGGGCAGTGCGGGAACGCGTGCAACTTCCTGGTGTTCGGGCTGAACCACGAGACGCTGCTGTGGAAGACGCTGAACGGCGGCGGGCGGACGGTGTTCGTGGACGAGAGCGCGTACTGGGCGGCGAGGTACGAGGAGAAGCACAGGGGGATTGAGGCGTACGATGTTCACTACTCAACCAAAGTCAGCGAATTGTACCATTTGTTGGAGCACGCTAAGGTTTGGTTGGATCACAAATTTGACTTTTAATTTAACGTAGTGTTTAGTTTTTACAAATTTTAATTATCAATTACCGTAATCTTCAATAAAATAAAATACGGGTTAATTTTTAAAAATATTTCACAAGATAAATTTAATTTAATTATTTTACTCCTTTCGTTCCTAAAAAACTTTCTATTTTGATTTTAAAAAAATTTTAAGAGGAGTGTATTCTGATGTTGACTTTCTAAAAATGTCTTTTGATGTGATAGATAAAATAAGATGAGATAGGTAAATTAATAAAGAAAAAGTATAATATGATAGATAGGTTAAGAATTAATATGGGTAAAAATGATTTTTTTAATTAAAAAGAAGCGTTTTTTGGAATAGATGAAAAAAGAAAAATGAAGATTTTGTGGGATGGAGTAAGTTTTTTTAATATTTTTTAAATTAGTAGGAAAAAAGGGGTTAGACATACTGTACAAATGGAGTATTATTATTTTTTTTTGAAAAAACATACATTTATTACTCTATATTAAAAAAATCATCATACCCCCGCCCTTTTCAAGGATTTCATGAAAATCAAAATGAGACAAAATTTTAGGTTTTTACATTTCACTAGTGTCAATTCCGTGCTTCGCACGGACTCGTATACATTCTAAATTTTTAACATTCTATAAATATAATTTTATTTATTTAAAATGAATATTTTTCATTCTAAGATATACATAGTATATTTTTTAAATAAAAGGTATACTTTAAATATTGATGTACATGCACGAAAAATTCTATAACTATTTTATTAAAAAATATTACATTAAATAAAACATAAGAATGTCAAAAACAATTTAATAGTAAAATGTTTCTTCATTGTTCTGGAAGTGAAATATTTTTAAATTAACAATAAAGAGTCTTAAACATACTTTTTTTAAAAATTTTGCACTCAATATATATATTTAAAATACGGAGTATATTTTACAATAGGGAAATATAAGTTTATCGAATTGTTAGAAAGTGTTAAAGTTTTATACAAAATATAATCAAAGTAATTTTTTTTATTGCTAAAAAATAATATTCATTTAATATAATACAATAAAATATATTAAAAGATCTTTTAAAATAAAGAAGCTTAATAAACCAATGAAATGCCTCCACCTAATTAAATAGTGCACATGTGGGTGTGCACATGTGGCATGCCACATGTCAACACCACAACCAATACACTCAACTTTACATATATCTATAGGATTTTTCAAAATATACTATACAAATAAAAAATCAAATTTATATGAATTAAAAATTACGTCAAAAATTTTAAACAAAACAAAAACATATTTTATTTTATTAAATATTTAACGAAAGTATAGAAGGAAACAAAACTTACCATGAATAAAAACCATGAAAAGGAAAAGGTGTTTATGTGTGATTCATTACTGGGCACTTTTAAAAAAAAGTAATGCTAGAGTCACAAATAAACAACTCACAAAATTCATAAATTTGTCTTTTTAACATTTTTGTAGAAATAAGATGCACTCAAATAATAAAAATTATTTTAATTTAAAATCCACAAAAGACAAGTTTGTGAATTATTTGTTTGTAACTTTAGCATTACTTTTTAAAAAATGTTTTTTAACACTAATAACTCTTAGAATATGGTACTTAGTTCATGTTTTCCAAGATTTTTGAATTTAAGTGTGCTTATTTTGACAATAAAATGCAAAATAATTGACAACCAAAATTTGTGTTCAATACACTATTTTGCTAACCCATCATTTATTTTTAAATTTTCCGGTGTGGGGTTGGGTAACAAAGGAGGAGGGCAGAAAAGAATGCCGGCCGGTGCAGAACCTTCTCTACTCCGACTGCAAGTTGGCCCTCAACGACCTCCCCAACCACATCTACGACGTCCCTTGGGACGTCATCCTCGTCGACGGACCGCGCGGCTGGCCCGCCACGGCCCCCGGGAGGGCGTCCGTGATATTCACCGCCGGCGTTCTCTCCCGGAGCAAGACGGGCGGCGCGCCGGCGACTCACGTCTTCGTGCACGAGATCTACCGGGAGGTGGAGAGAGTCAGCAGCGATAGGTTCCTCTGCCGTGGCAATCTCGTAAATTCCGTGCGGAGCTTGGGCCATTTCCGGGTGCCGAAACAAGAGCGCGGGAACTGCCGGTTCTGCTCTCCCGCCAAACCGCCATTGTCGTCTTCTTCGTCTCCTTCTTCGTCAAAAAAAGGGGCAGAGCAGTGATGATGATGAAGCATAACTGCGTGACGTCATAATTCCCACTTTTTTTAAATCTTATTGAAATGACATTTTTTTTAAGAAAAATGCTAGGGGTACACCAAAGGTGTTTTGGTGTACCCCATTTGTCCCCCACCCCCTCCATTACCACAAAAATGGGCAAAAATTTTAAAAAAAGTTAAATAAATAAAAAGTAGATAAAAATGAGTGGTGGAGAAGGGGTACACCAAATGTGTACCCCTAGCATTTTTCTTAAATAACGATTTTATTTTTAAAAAGAGCCATGCTAGGGGTACACCAAATGTGTACCCCATTTGTCCCCCACCCCCTTCTCCACTATTCATTTTTATCTATTTTTTATTTATTTAATATTTTTTAAAATTTTTGCCCATTTTTGTGGTAATGGAGGGGGTGGGGGACAAATGGGGTACACCAAAGGTGTACCCTAGCATTTTTCTTTTAAAAATTTTGTAGCATCCATATATTCATTAATCATTATGATATAAAGTTTCAAATTTTGTGATACTATTTGGAAATTAAAACATACTCCGTATTTATTCTTAATGCAAGTTGGCTAAAATTTTGGACGAATAAATAAATTTAACATGATTTTAGTTTTTGTGTCTCATAAAAACTAAAAAATACAGTATGAAAAAATTATCGAATCGAGTATGAATAAATTTAACAAGTCTTTTTTGTGAACTTCTCTATGAGTGCGTATGAAGATTATGAGAAAACGTGCGGATAAAAGTTGTGTCATTTTGGCTTTTTCATATGTAATAGTTTTGTAGGCCCCTAAAAAATGCGGAAGACGCTGCAGTGCTTCGTTTGTAAAATTAATGTTATTTAATTCTCTTAAGTTAACTCCTGGTACACCTCTCCTCACCCCACCCTGACGTGAATACATCCTCCACCCTTCAATTGCACCCTCAAGTTAGTTTTGACTTTTGATTTTGGAGTCAAAATTGATGCCAAAATCAAAATTAAATTGGGAATGCAATTGAAGGGGATGAGGGTGTGTATTCGGGTCGGGGCAGGATGGGTCAGCTTACCGGAGGGTTAGGAGGGAGGGGATAGGAACCATCAATTTTATAAACAGGACACTGTAGCGCCTCGAGTCATCTCATGATATTACGGGATAAAGTGGCGAAGACAGGGGGCATGCAGGGGCATGTGCCCCCCCGGCGAGGCTCCGGCGAAGTACCACCATGACCCGGCGATGAGTAGACTGTAGCAAAGTGACCCCCCAGCAACCGCCGATGCTCCAACACTATATTTCAGTTTCGTCTGCTTTAGATCCAAAAGTTCAGGTCGGAGATCGGCGGGGCTTCGTCGCTTCGTATGCTCCACTACTCCGTATTATTTAGTAAATGGGAAACGATGTCGTTTAGGCCAATGATTAGAAAATTCATTTAACCCTAGCCACCTCCCCCTTATGGGCACTTTTCCCTTTGGTGTTATAGTCGTAGGATAATTATTTTTGTTTCAAATTAAAAAACTTTAAGGCTCCGTTTGGTACACGGAATTCAAACTATGTAATTGGAATTGAAGACTTCAATTCCAATTCTAGTATTTGGTAGCTTAAATATTATGTGGATTTGGAATTGATAGTGCAAAATATGAATTCGAATTGATAAATTCAATTATATGGAACTGAATTCTATGGAATTTCAATTCAATTCAAATCCAATTCCATCAATTCCGTATACCAAACAGACCCTAAGTCAAATTCTTTGGTGGACTTTAGGTCCACCATGAACTTATATATTGTATAAGTAAAATAAGTATTTTCTTATTACTTAAATAGCCATTTGTTTTTTATTTTAAAAAAATTATTTTTGGAGAATAAAAAATAAAAAAAAAATAAAAAAAATAAAATTCGGAAGTGCTACCCCTTAATCCTGTCCTCTACACGGTGCCCCTCCAACAATTACATCCTGCTTCCGCCACTGGGGATAATGTCACTTGAGTCGCCCCAAAAAATGTACCTTTTTTTCTAATTTGACTTTTTTAATCAATGTTTTTAAACTTTGGTTTATATACGATGAAAAAAGTTCATTTTGGAATATAATAATGTTATAAGGAGTAATATTTATTTATATATATAAATATAAATACAAAGTGTGTGTGTGTGTGTGTGTGAGGAGTATTAATCATTCTAAGTGTTGTATAAAAACCACAAAAAATAATATAGGAGTAATAATTTGGCAATAACTTGGGCACACATTAGGATTAGGTAACCAAGCAAAACTCTAAGGCTCTTGATTCCAAAGATTGTTTTTTTACTACCCCTCATCTGCCATTTCCAACCCCCCTTTAGTAAATTATTAAACCTTCCTCTTTTGTTTCCAACTTAGTTTCTTTAATTAATTACCATGTACTTATGTGCTATAATAATCCCTACAATATAACCACCACCATGAGAGAATGGTTTTTATTGGCTTAATTATCATGGGCATAGAAATATAGATCTCTAGTTGCATGATGGCTTTGTCACAACACATTATTGTTTCTCTTTTAAGGGTTTTGGCTTTGGGAGGCACTTTGGCTGCAACTATTGTGATGGTCACTAGCCATGACTCCTTTCATTTCTTGGGCTTCACCTTTGTAGCCAACTTCACCAACTCACCAACTTTCAAGTAACTTTTTTGTCCAACAACACTATTTTAACCCTCGAGATTATTACACCAACACTGATGCAATTACACGTTTGTGAAAAATCGTTCTCTGCGAAACACTAACGATGTCATTTGCAGTGTCACCTTTTTTATATCGTGCATAATTTGGTCAGTGCTCATCGTTGTGACGTGCAGATACTTTGTTGCTGTGAATGCACTTGTTAGCGGATATGGCATCATTGTCCTCTTTATTCATCCCAATAATCTGGGCGCGAGACGCGTTTTGCTCGTCTCGGATATGGTGAGCATATGGAGTATATAATATTGTTGTTAACGACCCCGACACGCTTCCTTGCTACTTTCATTCATAAAAATCACATTTTTTTGATTTTTTTCTAATTAAGGTTGTGACATTGTTGATGGATTCAAGCATATCAGCATGTATAGCAGTGGGTGAAGTGGGAAAGAAAGGGAACAATGCAGCTGGTTGGCTCCCAATTTGTGGACAAGTTTCAAAGTTTTGTGGTCATGTTGAAGGAGCCATCTTTGCTGCCTTTCTTGCTTCTCTTCTCTATTTTCTCATTCTTTTTTACTCTTTCCACACCCTCCTTAATAATTTCTATACTCTTAAATCTTGATTAGCCACCCCATGTTGGACTTAATCTTTTTTATGCTAACAAATCCACTCTGGCTGACTTAGGTCATGTTCTCTCTAACTTATATTTTTATTTATTATTTATGTTTATTGGAATCAAATCAGACCAGATCACAAATAACTTTAAATATAACTACATTCAAATCAGATCAGAACTTATTCCAATTAGATTAGATTCAATCAGATCAAGTGAAGAGAACATGACATTAATATTCGAATACAATATTTCAATGTATTAAGAAAATTATAATAAACAATTAGTAAAGAATTGAGGACATAAGTCTTTGTTGAATATAGAAAGAAAGCGAGAAGAATATATATTTCCACACAAAGGTAATAATGATGATGACCTTGCTCGGTAGAAATGCACTTCCTCCCTCCCAAAAATTCATTCTCTTCTTGTTTTACTTGTCTCCCAAAATTCTTTCTATTTTAATTTAAAAATCACATAAATTTTAACATATCTATCATATCATATTTTTTTACTACGGTGTAATAATTTACACATCACATCCTACTTTTACTTACTACGTCAAAGATATTTTTAGAAAGTCAACACAGAAATATCCCTCCCTTGAATTTTCTAAAAGTCAAAATGAAAATATCTTTTTGGGAGAGAGAAAGTAATTTTTTTTGTAGAAAAAATGGTCAAAATAGGAAAAGTCCAAAAGTCCTCTTTGTAGTTTTTCATTAGTTACCACGAAAGGGAAATGTTTTCAGCAAAAACTTTGTGGACTCTTGAAAATATTTTCTCATAAATTGCTTCACCAAACATTGTTAAATTAGTCAGCATTTGTATTGTTTGACCAAATTTACATCATGTCACATTGTCCCGGAAAGTTGATGCTACGAAAGACTCCATAGATACATGCCATCCTCAGGGTTAATGGTCTCAAAAATTGAAGTAAAAAACAACAACAATAATGATATTAATAACCATATTAATAATAATAATATCTGATATATTTGTTTTCAATAAAGTTTAAGAAGAAAATAAAAGTATATATATTTGAGACTTTTGTAAAGGAGAGAAAGTAATGTAAACCATCCATTTCGTTCCTTTTAAGAAATGAAAAGTTAAATTTAGAATAACTAAAAATGAAAATTGAGAAGCTTTTTGGGACTAGAAGTATGTCATATGGGGAGAGCGAATGTAAATTTGAGAATTGCACGTAATTGGGACTCAGGCATCGAGCCGTTTGATGGAGCCAAAAGCATATATGCATAATATGTTGTGCGATTGGTTGGGATTCCTTCAAGTCCCAGATCGAAGGTAGAGAAAAAAGAAAGACAAAAATAAACGGTCCTAAGACCTCAAACTTCTCTCACGATCATACATGCAATCAAGGCGAATAAGAAAACACTATTTTTCAAATGAGTCTCATCTCCGAGGGTAACCTCAGAACTGGTCAGATATCCGCTGAAATGAGATAAATTAGATTTTGATTGTAAATTGGTGGTAAAAAGTATTCATCAACACAGTTGTCAGAAATCGAACTCAAGTTTACCTATTGGCACTCGTTGCCTTTACCAGCAATGCAACGCCTACGGACAAAAACCATCATTTTTAGGTGGAACGCCCGCCCCGACCGGCATGATTGTGAGGTGGTCAAATCATGATATTTTTTCCGCCCATTAATTTTTTTCTCACTTTCCTTTTTGATTTTTCCAAAAATATCTTTCGCGTTTCTTATTTTGGCAACAAAGATTTAAGGAATGTGCCATTATATTCCCACTTTTTATCTAT